ACTTTCTTGAAACTCCATTTTTCTCTCAGGGATTTTTCCCCTCTTTGGTATGATGACAATTTCCTTGGATATGTTGAATATAAGGTGACAGTGGAATCGACATGATACTAACAGGAAGTCTGAGATGTGGGACTTGAAATTAGTAACAAGGTCAGGACTGAAGATATTAACCTGGTAGACGTGTAGAAATGATAGTTTAAATTCTTACAGTGGATGCGTTTTCAAGGGAAAGGAGGTAGACAGAGACGTGGACAGTTTCCCTATTACTCACTTTAGGAGTATCGAAAGGAAGTAGGAAGAGTAAGCAAAGGAAAAGGAATTGAAGAAGAAAGTAAGCAGTTTAATTCAATGCACTATTAAAGAATATAAGAGAAGTTAGGCAATTACTTTTTTTTTTTTGAATGGCAGAGGCAGGTTTAATGGTGGCACCTTGTCTTTTTTGTACGTTGTAAGGAACAAAACCAACAAAAAAAACCCCAGAAATAAGAAAAAGGTTTAATCACATGGCACTTTATAGAGATATCTTAAGCAGTGGGCATTCACATCTCCACAGGAACAACACACTGGGAAGCACAGCCCGACAGCCACTCGGGATGTTCCTCACACAGGAGACCCACTGGGCTCTGGGTGCCACAGCCCATGGCCCGCTCTGTCCTTCCCGCTGGGCGGAAAAGGCACAGCTCAGGCGAGGAGCCAGCCTACGGTGGATAAGACACATCATGCCTTGTTGGTTTGTTTTTCTAATAATTTTTAACCAAATTATAACAGGTTGGTTCATTTCTATTTTGGCCAAAAATTACATTCTTGATTCCTAATTATGTATAGGACATTTTATTCTATAACCTAAAACAAAATCTACTTTGATGGTTGGAAAGTGAAAATTTTCTTATTAGTTCAGTAACTGTTAATTCAAGTTTTCTTAGACTATATACATTTTTCTGTAAAAAAAAAAAAAAAAAGCAAAATAAAAAGATATGAATCCAAAAAACTGACCTCTTGATATTTGTTTAACTTAGTCTTAAATCAATTATCAGAGGAATTCTTTATTTATTCGTAATTGCATAGATATTTTTTGCTTCTTGAAGAACAGCACTAATTCAAATATAAAAATTATTATAAGAGATTTCTCTCCATATCATCTTTTTTGTATGAAATCATAAAAGCAAATTTTTATACAAATATTGATTGCATTGAGCAGAAAATATCCAAATATCAGGCACCTTTTTAAATGAGTACTTTTTTAAAAATAGGAATAAAATAGGGACTGTTGCAATAGTACATTGATCCACACAGCCCTCACATCTGGCTTAAAGGATGTGTTCCATATTGCCTACAGTGAATGGCAGGTTTTATCTTCTTTCTGTCTCTTACATTTGCAAGGGGGCAATTTTATTCTCCAAAGCTTTAATAGGCCCCATTCTTACATGGGTTTATTTTATATTATTTTTAAAAGTAAAATTTTTTTTCTAGATCACATAAACAACTATCCACATTATTCAAATACGGCAGCTATCTAGAAGTTGCAATTAAAAGTGTTCATTATGAAACTTACATATCACTAGGTATAATTAATTGCTTTAGGATATGTTTAACTAGGTAAGTGTCTGATAATATAATAAAGCCTGAGGGATATATACCTGAATCCTTAGTCTCAAGGGGTTTAAAAGAAATTGGTTGTTTTAAGTGTAAAATAATCCCTTGATTGCTCCTTCATGTTCTGTAAATTTACTGTTTTATTTCTAAAGTTAGGTGTATCATTCACCAATGGTGCCCCATAAATTACAAATGTAAAAACCGAGATTTCAAAATAGTCATGTAAAGAAAGTGTTAGAATGTAATTTTAGCCTAAGAGTAATATTCGATTCTATCACATCCAATAAAATACAGGCTTTTACAGACCACTACATTTTTTCCTTTGTATTACTATTCAAAAATTATTTAATAAATTTTATTTCCCAGGTGATGAACCTAATAGGTAAATTACCACATTAAATGTGTTTACCTTCTAACTACCGTGCACTTTGAAGTTAAAATTGTACTACAGAACAAATAGCAGATATTCTCTCTTCAGAATAACTCAGTTCCAGTTGATAGCTGGAATTAGTTCCCATTTCTGTCTATTTGACATGTGAGCAAGAGAATCAAAAGGGTCCAAAACAACACCATAGAACAATAAGATTATTTACATGAGGAATTCTCAAAACTATTAGTCTGAAATTATTAATTCAATAGACATTGAATGCTCAAAGGCAATTGCCTACAAAGTTAGCAGACACTCTGGGTTACAAACTAATGTCAAATCTGTTTCCTTAATAGAAGACCTATTAAAATATGAGCCAAAGTTGTAACACACTGTATGATTCAATTGGATATTTAGTTACAACATTAAATCTAAACCATTAATGTAAACAATGTGGAAATAATTATTATATAATGTATATGCTTGTTGCTATCATCTGTTGCTATCACTGTTTTATACTATATTCCAATTATTTTAATTTAACTGAGATAAAAACATTTTAAAGCAGTTTCTCTGGTGGATTAGTTTTATTTTTCCTTAAATGTTATGGGGATAAAATTAAAATATATTCATTGACTATACAACTATGGGTACAAAGAAAACTGAAGATCAAACAGGTCAGTCCTGTGTATCATATCTTTGTAATTAAGCCATTTCATTACTGAATGTACACACTAGGTTGGTTAATGACTCTAATCTCTGTTTTGCTCATTAGTACCAGGTAAACAGTGTAGAAAAAAACAAACAGAAAAGACCCTGTGCAAAATGACCACACAATATTCTAAACTCTAACAGGTAACTAAAGATTGCCTTAACATTCTTGCCAACATTCACTGCGAAGAAATCATGATTTATAAAATATTTTATAAAAATAAACACACTTCTTTCATATATATAAGAATTTCCTCTCTGAATCAATTTCCCATATTTCTCCCTCAGCCTCAAACAAAATGACCCATTCCTATGGTCAAACTATTTTATTTTTTGGTGGGTTGAGAAAAAATTGTTTATATTCTGTAATCTAAGTATTATCAGCAGTTTCTGGAGTCCCATTTTGAGTTTTTATATATCTGTATGTTTTTCAATCACCACTGCTTCCTTCTGTCACTTAAAGAATGTGAGGCAGTTACAGAAGCTAAAGAATTAAATGGTACACATACTCCTTTCTCAAACCTTTTGAGTAGGAAAAGGAGAAAAAATCCTAGTGCAGATAACTATTATAACTTTGCCCTTTATGGTTTTCTTTTAGATTATTTGTTTAAAAATATTAAATTTTCATGTGCTCTGTGGAGCCTAGCATTGGTTTATAAGGTGAAAAGAAAAGAAATAGTATTAACTGCCAAGGGGTAGTCATTACCTGCCTGTGTACATTAGAATAATTCTTAGTCATCTGGGTTGCAACTGTCTAGAACTGTAATGTTTTAGGATGTACCCTTGCTGCGGTTTCATTGCCCATGTCCAAGGTCATGAGATCACGAGCTCTATACTGTGCCTGCAGTTATCACGTGGAACAGCGAACACAATTACAGAACATTTGTGCAGCCTGCTTGGCTCAAATCTCTCTCCCTCCCTCTCTCCTTTTATATTAAACAAACTGATCTGCTAGATCATTTTTACTCAGCCAATATGCCTGAATAAATGCCTTCCAATTTTTAAGGTGATTATTTGAAATTAAAAATATCATTAAAAGTCATTCTAGTGTGGAATTTCTTTGAATAAAATGGGTTAGAGAGCAGCAGAGATATATAAATTGGGTAAGGCATTCAAGTCCTTGGGAAGTGTGTATTGCTTCTCTGGCACGGACACAGCATCAGTCCTGTCTATGTTCTTCCCAGAGTCACCTGAACGATTTCTTTTCATTGGCTACAGCACCTTCCGAAAAGACTGCCTTCTGCCCAGAGCGTGGAGGACAATGCGCTACAAGAATCATAGAAATGCCTCTACCAGGTCAGATCAGCATCCTTGCAAATGCTCAGAGTGCTTTATAAAACTCTTGCATGCTAGATTAAAAATGTGCATTACTACTACTCCCATCACCCACCTCCCAAAATATACAGCCCTGCAAAGTAATTCTTGGTGACTTTACAGCTCAGTTGGGGTTTTATGCCTTTTAAAGCACGTTATCGTCTCTGGGTTTTTAACATGTCAACCTCTTTGCAGGGTCTTTCTGTTCTAATAAGGGATGGGCGAGAGAACATTTTACCATCTGTCTTTTAAAGTTAATATGAAGAAGTACAAGTTTGCATCCCTCTCAAGCATTTCAAGCCAGATATGCTGTTACTTTGACTGGATTATCTCATTTGATTTACCTGGTATGAACTGCATTCCAAAAGAAAGATCTTGGTTTTAGAGATCGAAAGACTGTATTATTTCAATAGTAAAGGGATTCGTGGTGGAATAGCAATACACACACCCAAAAGCAAACAAACATGAGGACAGCACAAACTAAAGAAACCTAGTGAAAAAGAAAGTATTATAAGTATTTTGTAGACTATTTTAGAATAAAATGTTTCTTTTATTTATCTAAATAACAAATTATACACCTCTGATAACAATTTTACTGAACTAAAACCCATTCATTGTTCAAATTATTGCATTGCTATTTGGGCCCAGTCAGGAAAATCTTTAGCAGAGCAATAAGCAAACTAAACGACTTAATCTTCAAGATTTTATCTCTAAAAAAATTCCTATTCTGCTTCAGAAATCTCTCAATCAGTCAATGTTTTAAACATCTACAGCATGGCCACTATAGGAATCAATGTTTCACATTAGTTTTGCTTAAAAATAAAAATACATTTTTGTGACAGCACAAAAACATATCTTTGATGGTAGAAACGCAGAGATCAAGATGAGAGAGCTTCTCAACGTACTTTCGTTTGGGGCCCATCTAAGTGACAAGAGCAGGGTGAGACTCTGCCTTACTTGGGAAGAGGCTTATCAGCACACTGCTGATGACCCAGGCAAATAGATGGCAAATTACCTTTGAGAGGTCCCCAGCCTCCAAATAGAAGCAGATGACAAACACATTCCACGTAACCCACAGGACTAGCCAGGCAGCATACTGTAGAAAGGCAAGAGAGAAACAGCATATAATTAATTTTGAATCAGCTGAGTGAGATTTAAATAGAACTTGAACTTCTGAACACTAAAACATTAAGATTTGTGGGAAATATTAGATACACCTTCTTCCCAGGGAACAGAACGAGATGTGCATTTATCTCTTTTGATATTTTTCTCACTGTTATGAACTCATAGTATTACAGCTTAAACTTGCTTAAAGATAATTTTTAAGTTTTCAGACCAAAAAAACAAAAAGAGTAGGCTAGATTCTATTTTAAGGGACAATGATGGCTTCTAGGTATCTAAAGAATTGGGTGTTCCAAAGAAGTATGAAATACAACCCCTTAGAGGGAACTCATATTTTCCTTTGGCAAAATGAAACCATTATAATACAGCTTTTCTCCAAATTATTTGGGCTCATCCTCAAATAGTCCTTCTGTTTCTGTTTTCTTCAACCGAGGATGAAGGTTTCTTACCAAGACATAGTTCTGACCAGTCAGTCAACTAAAATTTTTTAAGCATCTAGAAAATAACATGCTATAAAGATATTGAGGATATAAAAAGCATTGATAAATTCTCCCTGAAATCAAGTCAAGTGGTGAGGGTAGATTTTAAAAAAAAGATGATTATTATACAAAAATCATAAAAAAAATTCTGAGCACAAGCAAGGAAGGTGGGAGAAATGTAAACTTATTCTGAGAAAAACTATTCCTTCAAAGCTTAGCAGAAGAGGTGAAACTCTTTTCATAAGAGGTGTATCAAACAAACTTCTAAACTTTACCAAATAAAATCATGGAGGGTTGGACGGACTATGGTGGAAGGGTGCTGTAAACAAAGAAAACTGATGTGAATTTTAAAAAGTGGGACAAGAGGATATCATGTCATTTCTCTGATAAATAAACACCAATGGCTCCCATTCTTTATATAATGAGTTCTAAAATCCTTATTTTATCATTCAAGGGCTTCCATGATCTTGTACTATATTTTTCAGACACATTTCATTTAATCTCTCAAGTCATCATAGATTCCAAATATATTGGATTCCTTGCTGTTCCATGTACATGGAAAGTTATTTGCCACCTTTGTGCCTTTTAAAATGTTATTCCTTTACTCTTTAATAATTTTTTTTATCCCTTAGGTACTCCTCTTACCATATATCAATATTTTATTTTTCTTCAAGGGTCAATTTAAATATCACCTCCTAAATGATATCTAATTGGGATTGGCTTAGTTCTGCTTAGTGCTCCAGTAAGATCTTGCTCTAATTTCATTCCAAATGTCATATCTATTTGCATAAGCTCCTTGAGAAAAGTGACCATTTAAAAATGTATGTTTACATCTCTAATTTGTTAACTTATAACTTTGCACAAAATAGGCACTAAGAACATATTTTGTAAATCAATAAAATAATGAGGAGCAATGTGAAGAAAATCTTGGTATTTTTCTGATGCAGAACCTCTTCTCCCCCTCAGACCTGGTTTCTATGAATATACTATGATCACCCATGTTGTGTGAGGACTGAGAGCCCTACATGATGAGTTGACATAATACATAATAATTACTCAGCTGTTTTTCAGGTGATGGGTTCATCTAACTGCTGGATAGGTGCAATGCTCAGTGAGACTAAAGTAAGGACAAAAATAAATGGTCCAAGACAAAAGAAAGGGTCTGAGAGGCTGTTTGACTTGAGGGCTGGGGGCTAGAAATAAGGTAAGGAAACAGCTGTCTGCAGCCAAGATCTCGGTTCTGGCACAGAGACCTAATGAGACATCGAAGTTTGCTCAGTATTGGGAAGTGTGAATTCATCTCTCAGAATTAAAAAAAACCAAAAGGCTAAAATTTAAACTTACTCAATGGCTTTGAAGATGTGGATTTTAGTTTTAGAAATATAGTGATGTTCTGGGTCCTACTTCAAGGGTAACATGGTGAGAAGAAATAAAAAGTAGAGGTTCCTTTGACTTGGTTTAAGTGACTAAGAAAAAATACAAGGAGGACTGAACAAAGTGTTCTATCATGTCCTTTGTTCATGGTAACATACTTAGGATATTAACCAATATGCTTTCTACATAAACTCATGTAAAAGCTTCTTCCACTAGCTGAACTTTCAGTCTAGACTTGTTTTTTTTGTTTCCCTAATGCATCACATTCTTCACTAGGATGCTTTCTCTTTTTTGACACATTAAAGCCAAAATTGACAGATGATGTTTTATAAAACAAACCCTTCTTCATTGGGTTTCATTAAATGGTAATTTATTATTTCTGACTTATCATGCTACAAAATTATAAAGCATTTTCTATATCATATTTTATTGGTTTCTCTTTTATAGTATTAATTAATAAAGGTTTTGTTCTCCTTTTTTTAAAATCCTACTATTTTTAAAATTATTTATTGATTTTTAGAGAGAGAGAAAAAGAGAGAGAGACAGAAATATCAATTTGCTGCTCCATTTATTTGTGCGCTCATTGGTTGCTTGTTGCACGCGCCCTGACCGGAGACTGACCCAGAACCTTGGCGTATCAGAACAACGCTCTACCCGACTGAACGATCCAGCCAGGGCTCTCCTTTTTTATCCCCTTGCTCTCAGAGTAATCCAGAAGGATATTTTCATTTTATTGCCTTTATTACAAACCTGTTAGCTCACATGCACTCCTTTTCATTAAAGATTTGTAAGAGAATCATCACCTTTAGTGACGTGGCAACTTTAATAAGCAGGGACACCCACACATTGCTACCAAGGGTAATCCTTCACTTGCATCATTACCCAAAGGCAGGGCTTTATCTAATTTCGCTGTATCTCATTTAACTTTACTCATTAACTCTCTCTCATTTAACTTCTTAGATCATCTTTCTTCATTCTCCTCTTTTTTTTTATTATTATTCTTTTGTGTTGTTGCTTTTCTCATTTTAGCAACTGGCATTTATCTAAATCACATCTCCTCTAACTGGATTGTACATAATTGCCTAAATACTGAAGATTTTGCATCCCCTTGTAATTTGGCCGATGAGTGATTTTTGTTAATAAATCCCATGATTCACACTGTTCAAAAAATTACTCATAATTCTCTCAGAGTGTAAAAATGCATACTAACTTCTTCCCAGTTGCTTCAGCTAGTTGATGTGACATAACTGACAATGGCTCAGTCTGAATGTAATTGAAAATGATGTACTGCCCAGGAGAGATGACCTAACAGGATAACAGTCTCAAGTTTGCCAGATAGCACCTAACTTACAGTTTCTGCTGCATTTCTTAGCCTCATCTTTTCTTCTAAAAAAAAAAAAAAATCTTATATTTTATGTTTCAGGTAAAAATTATGAGACTATCTGTAACGACAGACAAAGCCCATTTGATGATGTAAATCATTCTTTAAGGGTTGATTTCTGTAGGCCTAAGTAGACTATTTGAGAGGTAGATTTAACTTGAGTCTCCAGCTAAATGGTTAATATTATCAACTGAAAAAAGGTAATTGAATCATCATGGGTTCCATATTGTATTTGGGGCTGTAATGATGAAATCAAATTAGCTGTGTAAGATAAAAATTAGATAAGGTTGTCAATCATGACAGACCAAAATGTTGGCCAGATCCAGAGTCACAGCGATATTGCATGGCATGGTTTTATAATAACTAGAAAGTAGCACCCCAGAGTAAAAGGCTGATAAACATCTGCCTGGAAAACACCGAGTCACACCTTAACAACACTGTCAGTGTGTTTCTACTTCTTTTTCTTACAATAAAGCTTCCTACAATGAAAGTCTATATTTTTTAAGTTATAAAGGATAGGTATTATAGACAAAGCACATGAACTTAACATCAGTTTTTTAGGTTTTCATAAACACATATATGATGTTTTCATTTTTATTCAAATTACATTCAATTCATAGATTAATTTTGGGGAAAACTCCAATCTTTATGGCATTGTATTACCAAAATAATTTCTTCTAGAAAAATTCTGGAAAAAGGAGCCTATCATTTAAGGCAACTAAATTTTCTTATCTTTCTCATTGTTCACAAAGATTCTAAAATCAATTTCAAAATCAATTTCAAAATAAAAATATATATGTTTTTATATATATATATAAACATTTTATATATATACACACACATATATAAACCTTTTTATATATATAAAACTATTATTCGATAATATCACCATACTTATTAGAAGCTGAGAGGGGGTAGTACAATTCAAACACTGGACACATGATTCCATAAGTGCTGAATTAGAAAAAGAGTTGGACCCGTGAATCAGTTCACGTTTATTAAGCATCAGCAGGATGCAAGTGACTATGACAGATGCTGCAGAAAAACGTTACACGATGTAACTGAATCACTTATTCCCTAAAATGATTTATATTTATCATTGATAGGCAATCACTGTAATATATGGGAATGTGTTCAGGTGTGATTTTTTAACTAGGAAGCAACACTGGTATCAGCTCACCAATATCGCTGATAGACTTCTAATATAAATAAAACAATGTAATCAGTTCTAATGGACTGGGACAGCATTCCTAAGAAGCCTGGATTAGCAAATCATGTCTTAAACAACTTCTTTAAGCATCAGTTTAAAATTATTAACAATCAGGTGTTCTAATATTAACTATGAAGGTATTTTAATGCATATAACTGTATACCCATAAAACAAATATCCCTGGTCAAAATGATCGGAATATAGTCATCTTTTGCTGAAAGTTAATTATATTTTAGCTCAATTTTCTCAACTGCAGCAGCAGTATCATTTAATCTGCTTAGGCATTCTCATCAGTTTGTCATCCATTGTTATAAATAAACAGCACAAGTGGCCCATTTTAGGACAGTCTGCCTTATGATTTAAATCCTACCTTCTAATTCACAAATCCTGTTACATGTTTTTCATGCTATAAAGCTTGTCCCTTAAGCAACATGCCTATAAAAATACACTATTACAACTTCTAGTTTGAAGAGGGATGATCAGATTAGATAATCAGCCAGAATCTGATAGAAATCTTACTCTAATCACAG